GTATTGGGTGCCTGGCGAGTTACTTGTTAAGTAAGCAGATCAAAGGGAACTACTGTGTGCTCCGTGCTGACCGGCCGAGCCAGTGATGTGGAGTCACTGGACCATGGGTTATGGGTGACGATGTTCGGATTTTTGAACTGATCATTTTTGCTTTTTCTGGTCTGGTCATCAGAAATTTGAGGAGTTTCGGGGGCGATTGGAGTGCTTCCTGACCTCAGGGATGGAGTTTATCCTGCTGTGAACGCACAGACTCAGACAACCATCCAGATGAATTGCAAGCTTGAGACTTTAGCTGCAATTCCAGCTTTGATACAAAATGGAGTATCATCATGGAGAAAGTGGTCCCAGTATGCATGGCGTAGAAAAGTTTAAACACCATTATTCAGCTTTTTGGAGGAGTTGAGATCAACTGTAAAGCAGAGATGAAGTCTTTCTCTGACTGTCCCAAAACAATTCCTCTCATCAGAACCTGGTGCCCTTGAGTCCCCACTGAGGGAACGTGGACAGACGCTGTGAAATCACGTGTTCAGGACCAATTTCCCATCACTTCATAGGATTTGGAAATCCCTAATTACTTTGATGAGGCATTTGGTGATTTGTTTCACACTTCATCCTCCCAACCAAATCAATGTCATCTACAGTGGGACAAAAAAGTATTTAGTCAGCCACCGATTGTGCAAGTTCTCCCACTTAAAATGATGACAGAGGTCAGTAATTTTCGTCATAGGTACACTTCAACTGTGAGAGACAGAATGTGAAAAAAATCCATGAATTCACATGGCAGGATTTTTAAAGAATTTATTTGTAAATCAGGGTGGAAAACAAGTATTTGGTCACTTCAAACCAGGAAAATCTCTGGCTGTCACAGACCTGTAACGTCTTCTTTAAGAAGCTTTTCTGTCCTCCACTCGTTACCTGTATTAATGGCACCTGTTTGAACTCATTATCTGTATAAAAGACACCTGTCCACAGCCTCAAACAGTCAGACTCCAAACTCCACTATGGCCAAGACCAAAGAGCTTTCGAAGGACACCAGGAAAAGAATTGTAGACCTGCACCAGACTGGGAAGAGTGAATCTACAATAGGCAAGCAGCTTGGTGTGAAAAAATCAACTGTGGGAGCAATTATCAGAAAATGGAAGCCATACAAGACCACTGATAATCTCCCTCGATCTGGGGCTCCATGCAAGATCTCATCCCGTGGGGTCAAAATGATCATGAGAACGGTGAGCAAGAATCCCAGAACCACACGGGGGGACCTGGTGAATGACCTGCAGAGAGTTGGGATCACAGTAGCAAAGGTCACCATCAGTAACACACTACAACGGCAGGGAATCAAATCCTGCAGTGCCAGACGTGTTCCGCTGCTGAAGCCAGTGCATGTCCAGGCCCGTCTGAAGTTTGCCAGAGAGCACATGGATGATACAGCAGAGGGTTGGGAGAATGTCATGTGGTCAGATGAAACCAAAGTAGAACTTTTTGGTATAAACTCAACTCGTCGTGTTTGGAGGAAGAAGAATACTGAGTTGCATCCCAAGAACACCATACCTACTGTGAAGCATGGGGGTGGGAACATCATGCTTTGGGGCTGTTTTTCTGCTAAGGGGACAGGACGACTGATCCGTGTGAAGGACAGAATGAATGGGGCCATGTATCGTGAGATTCTGAGCCAAAACCTCCTTCCATCAGTGAGAGCTTTGAAGATGAAACGTGGCTGGGTCTTCCAACACGACAATGATCCCAAACACACCGCCCGGGCAACAAAGGAGTGGCTCCGTAAGAAGCATTTGAAAGTCCTGGAGTTGCCTAGCCAGTCTCCAGACCTCAACCCCATAGAAAATCTGTGGAGGGAGTTGAAAGTCCGTGTTGCTCAGCGACAGCCCCAAAACATCACTGCTCTCGAGAAGATCTGCATGGAGGAACGGGCCAAAATACCAGCTACTGTGTGTGCAAACCTGGTAAAGACCTATAGTAATCGTTTGACCTCTGTTATTGCCAACAAAGGTTATGTTACAAAGTATTGAGTAGAATTTTTGTTATTGACCAAATACTTATTTTCCACGGCTTATGACCGTGTCCCCAGGGGCACCCTGTGGGGGACGCTCCAGGAGTATGGGGTGGGTGGCTTTCTGTTAAGGGCCATTCAGTCCCTTTACCAGAGGAGCGTGAGTTTGGTCCGCATAGCCGGTAGTAAGTCGGACCTGTTCCCAGTGAGGGTTGGACTCCGCCAGGGCTGCCCTTTGTCACCGGTTCTGTTCATCACTTTTATGGACAGAATTTCTAGACGCAGCCGTGGTGTGGAGTGTGTCGAGTTTGGTGGCAGGAGAATCTCGTCTCTGCTTTTTGCGGATGATGTGGTCCTCCTAGCTTCATCCAGCTCTGACCTTCAGCTCTTGCTGGGTAGGTTCGTGGCCGAATGTGAAGCGGCTGGGATGAGGATCAGCACCTCCAAATCTGAGACCATGGTTCTCGACCGGAAAAGGGTGGCTTGCCACCTCCGGGTCGGGGGAGAGGTCCTACCTCAAGTGGAGGAGTTTACGTATCTCGGGGTCTTGTTCACGAGTGAGGGTAGGAGGGATCGGGAGATCGACAGGCGGATTGGTTCGGCGTCTGCAGTGATGCGGACGCTGAGCCGATCTGTCGTGGGGAAGAGGGAGCTGAGCCAGAAAGCCAGGCTCTCGATTTACCGGTCGATCTACGTCCCAATCCTCACCTATGGTCATGAGCTTTGGGTAATGACCGAAAGAACGAGATCGCGGATACAAGCGGCCGAAATGAGTTTCCTCCGTAGGGTGGCCGGGCTCAGCCTTAGAGATAGGGTGAGGAGCTCGGACATTCGGGAGGGACTCGGAGTAGAACCGCTGCTCCTCCGGATTGAAAGGAGCCAGTTGAGGTGGTTTGGGCATCTGGTCAGGATGCCTCCTGGACGCCTCCCCGGGGAGGTGTTTCGGGCATGTCCTGCCGGCAGAAGGCCCCCGGGTCGACCCAGGACACGTTGGAGAGGTTACATCTCCAATCTGGTCCGGGAACGCCTTGGGGTCCTGCCGGAGGAGCTGGTGGACAAGGCCGGGGAGAGGACGGCCTGGAGCTCCCTAATTGGGATGCTGCCCCCGCGACCCGGACCCGGATAAGCGGAGGAAGACGAAGACGAAGACTTACAAATAAATTCTTTAAAAATCCTGCCATGTGAATTCATGGATTTTTTTTTCACATTCTGTCTCTCACAGTTGAAGTGTACCTATGATGAAAATTACTGACCTCTGTCAACATTTTAAGTGGGAGAACTTGCACAATCGGTGGCTGACTAAATACTTTTTTGCCCCACTGTTTAGTGCTTACATTGACTCCTCGGAGTAAAAATCCAACAGATGTAAGCTCACTGCCTGACCAAGCAGAACAGCACTGTCCTCAGAGATAACACATGCATACTGTCCCCTCTTCAAAGTCCTCAGAAAGGTGGAATGTGGCTGTGAGGTCCTCTATGTGGCAACAGAGACTACGGAAAATTGCCATGAGGTCTTTGCTAAAAATGGCACTGTGCTGAACAATACTCGTGTCCCGTCAGAAATCATGGAAAAATGAGCAGAGCACAAGTACAGCTACACAGCGTACCCTACTGGCCTTCAGACTGTTGAGGAGGCAGAAGCTCTCGCCAAAAAGCAGCCATGTCTGATGGATGGATGTATATTCTGAAGGACAGGATGGGGCATTACAGGTCCAACTTACAAGGCTTGGAGTTCCAGAGGACACTTGCAACTCACTGAAGAACAAGAACCCTGATGACAAGGCTGGATACAGAATGCCTTCTCACTGATCTAACTCTGGGGGATTAACACATTTTACCTAGGGGTGGGAATATCTTAGTCTTTACCTCCTTTTATGATCATCTGCACATCACTCACTATTTTAAAGTTGTGTGCAACAGTCTTGTAATATTTTCATTGCTATATTAATTAAAGGAAAGTAGAAACTTTAAGTGGACCTGTTTCCAAACGCCCAGACAACTCTGATGCCATCTGGAGACATTGAGATCCATTTCTGATCAGTGTACATCCACATAAAAATGTTGGGCCACACAAATTGAAGCCTTTAAGGAGAAGTTGGAGTTGTTAAGATATTTGTGGTACACCTGTCTAGGAGGTCCAGGAGCAGGAACACAGAATATTAGGTTAAATAAAATACAGATCAAAACTCATTTAACCCTTTTAAGCAGCTTTATCCCAAACAAAGGGAACCCTGTAAACGGAACAGTGGTGGCGATTTACCTGTGGAAAACTAAAAGCACCTCTCTAACAGCAGGAGGGATACCAACAAACTCTTAGGATGGCACAAACCAAAAGCTACAGGGAACATGCCACTCTGGTATAGAAGGTTACTGTATTAGTGGCAGCTGGTGAAGTCCGTTCTTAGTGGGGCTAAAGAATATATAGTGATGTAGATCTCAGACCATACGGCTTCAGCCCACCTGGTTTCTATGTCTGCATGTCCTCAGGAAGACATCAAGTGCTGCAGAAACCTGTTAATCACTCATTCATTTAGACCAGGTGTGTGGCAGCAGGGAGACACCTAAAACCTGTAGGACCGGGGTTAAGACAGTGGTTTTCCAGGAGCACCACTCAGAGCAGCTCGGACCGGCTCAGCCCGGCCCGACCGCTGTTCCCAAGGGCACGGTTCAGTATGTTCCCTCTGCTTTCTCAATTTTTAGTCCCTGCTCCATTGAGGTACCTGGCAAGGCTGAGTCGGGTCGGCATCATGATTCTGGTTGCTGATTGGCTAGGGGGCGGAGTCACTCGAAGCTCCAGAGTTTTTTGCCTTGTGTCTCACTGCCTGCAGCCATTTCCTGGTTCAGAGTCTGACAATAAGCCATAAAACAGAACAAAATGTCCAGCAGCGCCACCATTTCTCAGCTGAGGCCGTTGTGTTTCTGTGGAGCATTCAGGTTACCTTACACAGTTTACTGATCACCTTGTGTTGGTTTGTCATGAGTACCACTAGGCCACTGAGAAGAAAAAAATGGTTCTTTTTATTTTTAGAGAAGGAGCCAGGAAAGAAGAACAAAGTACCCATATTAAAGTAAAACACATCCTCCCACTACAACAGATAATCTTCATCTACAGAAAGAACTGAGGTTTGAGCCCCAACAGAAAGGAAAGCAGAGGTGGGCTTGGGGTTAATGCTGCTCTGACGATGGAAAACAGGTTCATGTCTTTGTTTAGAAGACCTGAGGTGAGTCTGCAGTCTGGTTTCTAGTTATGGTCTTTTATCCACTGCTCCGTCCATTGAGTTATTTGTTCCAGGTTCTGCTCCAGCTCCTCAGGGGTGTTGTTTGGTAGCTGGTGGACAATCTCCTCCCGATAGGCTTCCATTGCCTCTTCATAGATGGTCTGGAAGATCTCACACTGCACATTGTCGTGCAGCTTCTTTCCTGTGTAGCCCCTAGAAGTTCCACAGAAGACAAAGACATTGAGGAACTAGTGCTGAACTGTTACACAACCTGGAGAGCTCATATTCTCTGAAGGAAGTCTAATCTGGTTGGTCACCAGTTCCATTCTGTTCTCCATCTCAATAACTCCTTCAGATGGTTATTGTTTGAACAGCTCTTGGATGTAGCCATTAGAGTTAAACCATTAACCTAGGTCTCACACACACACACACACACACACACACACACACACACACACACACACACACACACACACACACATTTATTCTCATATTTGTAAATAAACCATTGTTTACTTTTAAAACATTACTTCTGACTCTTATGTTACGCCGTCCTTCCTTTCACCATCCCAGACGTAACATAAACGGGGGCTCGTCCGGGTTTTTGTTTTTCCCTATGAAGGATATTTTTGTGGCATTTAGTTGAAAGTAACGTTTGGCTTACATTTATTAGTAGGGGGTTGTGGCTTCTTTTGATTTGGGGGCGTTTGTGTAGAACCCATCGCTTGAGTCACTGAGGGGTTGCCGCAATGCGACCTGCTGCACATAGCAGCTTACAGGTCCCGGAGCAGATACTGAAAATCTGGTAACCCTAATAGTGGACTATTCAGAGTGCCAAGGCCTGCTGCCAACTCCCTCAGCTGCTGTCTGCCATGCACCTGGCCCATCAAGTCCTAAGCATGTTTCCGTAGAAGGGGCGGAGCCGACTGAGGAAGATGAATCTTCCTCTTCAACTGGACAAGTGAGTGAGACTTGCTTTTGTACCGACACAGAGATCTTTCCTGTGCTTGTGTGGTAGGGCTGGGCAATAAAATGAAAATCTATCATTATCGATAACTCTTATTGACATCATTGTTCCCATGTCAATAAATTAGAAATGAAAAATGAATTAAAAAATGAAAAGACGTGTAGGTTGGCAACGTTCATGTCCCTTTAAGAAGCTGTACCAGCTTGAGTCCCTAAAAA